GTGCCGGCCATGCGCGGCCTCCTGCGGGGCCACAGCCCTTTCCCGGGCGGGTTGTCCGCTGCAGCCTGGCCGGTGGGAAGTTTCCCTTTCCCTCCTAACTGCCGCCCCCCGAAGGTGGGCCTGGATTGTCGGTCAGGGACGATTCTTTATGCAATAAAATGACACGTGCCAAAAGGGGGATTAAAGAGGTCCTGCTCGGGCGTCTTTTAAACTTGCCTTTCATTCTTCATCAGGTGGCCTTAAAAAGGAGCGATTACAGCCCGCTCAGCCTAGCCTAAGGTATTTTGCATCTTCCAGACTTACTCTTTCACTGAAGAAAAATAATACATACTGTATTTGTGCTAATTACAGGCCTATCTAAGTTTGCACCATTTCTGTAGGCTCAGTTTTGAAGGTTGTCAGCCAGGCAACTTAATAACACCCTCTCTCCTGAGACAGGTTTTGCATGAATTGTGGCAACATACGCAGGAACTATGTGCAAGAGAAGGGATGTCCTGATGTCACTTGCTTGCTATTTCAATGAGAAAAATCATCCAATTATTAACTATTATGGAGGAGGCTAAATAATGTTTAGCCCTCTCTGGGGAGCTGTACTGTTACTGTCGAGCTGTTTTCCATCTTTTCAGCAGTCTTCCTTATCAAGTATTAATTGGTTACTAGAGGGCGGGATATTTTACAGTCCCTTATCTCTTGTTTGGATGAGAGCACCACATGTTACTGGCCTTGAAAGAGATAATCATTATTCTTATTTTAAACAGGCGTGAGGTGAACGGCCATGATGAAGATGGAAATGAGCTACAGACCACACCAGAGTTCAGAGCACACGTTGCAAAGAAACTGGGAGCAATGCTAGACGGGTATTGGCACGCAATACTAAAAAAGTTTGTTCTACGGGTGAAGTACACCAGTGCTTTTGCATGCTAAAAGCAGGAAATTAAAGATCTGGGTGCAACTTGGATATGGAGAAGTTGTTTTTCTCCTTGTCTCCATCGTTCCTGTATTTAATACCAACTTCCAATATTCTGTAAACTAACCTGGCCCACGCGCTGTGCCCCTCTGGTGAAGACCCCTTGTGCAGCACTGCCTGTCACCACTTGCCTCTGTGGTGAGTGTGTTGTGGGGAGGAAAAAGTAGAATTTGGGTGCCTTGGCACTTTCACCATCTGAAAGGCCGGTGTGAGAATATTTCACTTACTCTTACAACCTAAGCCAGTGCTTGATTCAGGGTTGTGCCAGCCGTGTGCTTCTGATGGGGCTGCCTCTGTCTTTATTTATTGTGTAACGACGGCCCCGGGAACTGGAATTCCTGGTGTTTAGAGCTGGCGTTAGAAATGCTGCTTTTAAGTTATTCTTGTGACACACATTGCTAAGGAGAGAGGGCAGAGTCTGCTCTGAGAGCAGGGAGGTGGGACGGCTGCACTAAGAGGAAAAAAGAAACTATGTGGCATCCCCCTGTAGTCTTGTTTCCTAGAAATAGCCAACCTGAGCTCAGTTTGCACAAACCTGTCTAAGATCTGACCGGGGTTTTCTGTTCAGTTGCATCACTGTCCTGAGGGAGTCATCGGGACCTTCACAAGCCTCTGTGCAGCAGTCTGACCCTGGAGATGATGGTGAGTTCTAGGCCCAGCCATTGTGCCTATTGTGTGATGTTGTTAGTTAAGCGATGACAGGCGGGATGGATCCTGCCCAGTCCCAGTTGTACGTCCAGCCCACTAATAAGCATTTGCAGTAGAAGAGTTGATGTTAGCCTTGGTGAAGGCTGGTACTTCAATGTTATGATCTCTTCCCTAACTCCTCTCAGTTTGCTAGTCCCAAATAGTTGCTGTCAAGTACTGTATTAATGCATTAACAGCAGTGAGGCTTCACAGGGAGGTTGCTGTTGGTTGCTTTCACCTCTGTTTTGTGGCTAAAATTCCCTTTTACATCTTTTAGGTTTTCGCCTCTTCTCTTCCTCTGTCCCAGGAGACTGTGGGGAATCGGAGCCTTGCCCTGCAGCAAGGAGGAGACGGCCACCTAGCTCTAGGTGAGGTGGTTGCAGCTGTATTGCTCCTGAAGTACTGTTGCATCCCACATTTTAGACAGAGGTGGGACCCTTGCAAGGGAATAGGAAGTTGAAGAGAGCTTGAGAAGTGTGCGTTTGGCTCCTATATTTCACTGGAGCAGATTGTTTCGTGTTTCATTTAAGTGCTGGGGAACTAGAAATGTTTGTGGCAGGCTTCTTTCCCCTCCTAGTGTGTATAAGGAACACCTGCAGACCGGTTAAATGCTGACTGTAGGTGTTGGAGTCTTGGAGCCACTGGGTGTCTATCGGGTGTTCTCATCATAGAATGGTTTGGGTTGGAAGGGACCTGAAAGATCGTCCAGTCCCACCCCCTGCCGTGGGCAGGGACACCTTCCACTAGCCCAGGTTGCTCCAAGCCTCATCTAGCCTGGCCTTGGACACTTCCAGGGATGGGGCATCCACAGCTTCTCTGGGCAACCTGTCCCAGTGCTTCAGACTACTTGGAGTACTCTGCTGTTTGTGCTTTGGGTGAATTCAAGGCAAAAGTGTAACATAAGTTCCTTCCCTTTTGTTATCTTTTCAGTGACACGGACAGTGAACAGGAGTGGCAAAGGTACCAAGAGGCTGCTGTGTCAACTGCAGACATTCTGAAGCAAAGTGCTTTTCCTGCACTGTCCCAGGATTCCAGCCGGGATCAGAGTCAGGGTTATGTAGAGCACAGCCAGAAAAAAAAGAAGAAAAAGAAAATTAGGGGAGAGAACAATATTCAGGAGAAAAGAATAGACTCAGCAGAGTGTGACCAGATCAGCAGAGATTTGCCACGGTTCGTGTCTGCAAATGGACAGCATGAGAGACAGGACAGCGATCACACAGAGAACTCGGTGTTGCCTGGAGTCGTGAAGAAGAAAAAGAAGAAAAAAAGAGAGTGAAGATTTTGCTCTACAAGCAGCAGGTGATTATAGCGGATGAAGGATGCTGGGGAAAAAAAAAACCAACTAATAAAAGGAGTTGCTGCAGATGAGGGAAAATTAATTGGCAAAGCTTCTGTTCTAAAAGCTCAGTGGCCTGAGAGTCTAATTAGGTGACTTCCTATGTTGCTGGCATCCCTTGGGGAAGGGAACATTGTTCTAGCACAGCAGTTATCTGTGCTGCCGCTTATGCAGGCCTAGCGTAAAAGGATTAAATACTGTGCACAGACTTGCGTGACAGAGGGACATAATCGTAGCTGCATCCCTCCTGGTCCGTTCCTTCGCATCGTGAAACCAAATCTGTGTCCTGGAGAAAGTATATGCTGAGTTGAATTTGGTTTACATGGCAACAGGTGATCTACTCCTTTTTCTCTGCCTCCTCCTAGATGCCTACTAAGAATAGCTCCAGCCTGTGGGAGACTCATTTATCAAAATCATCCTTTCGGATATCAGGGCCCCCGTACTTGTTTTCCTGTGATCATCATAACTGTCTGTTGTTGAAACCTGCCATGTTACTAATCCCTCTGTAATCTGCACCTCTCCAGGGCCCTGCACGCAGTTTGCAGTGAGCTTATTTCAGAGTTGTTACAAATAGGTAGTTCTGTTCAAGTTATGGCATTTGAAATTTCTTGTCATGTAGAGTTTTTTATGGCATTTGTTGTTATTAAATTCTACTACTATATCAGTCTTAATTTGGCAGGTTTTGTACAACAGTGGCTTTCTTGCTGTATCCAGATGGCAGAGATAAAGACGGCTGAAGATGGCTTTTTAGTGTCTCGGTGATCAGTGCTAGGAAATTGCTACAGGAAGGACTTAACCTAACTTGAATTCACTGTGTTTCATTCCTTATTTTGGTTGATTATGACTTTTGTCTTTCTGAAATACAACAGGGTTTGGTAGTTTTCAGTATGGCTCTTAGCCTGTTTATACTTCAGCTCCAGTATTTCAGGTAATGACCTGTTGTTGGGTAAATGCTCTTCTTTGCTGGGTTTCAGTAGCTCTAATTCATTTGCCCTATTCCAGAGACCAGAAAGCCAGACTGGAGAAACCGAAATAGTGAATTGTAGCTCTTTGATTGTGGGAAAACCCAAGATGTTTTCTTTCCTACTGTAAGATCTTTGCTGGTTTTAATCAAGAAAACACAGTTGCTATTCAAGAATGGAAAGACTAAGTAGAAAATTGGCTTGTAATCTAACCGAGTGGGCCAGCAGAAGTTACTTGTCTCATGGCCAATTAAAACTTGAGTACACTGAAGGTAGCACCTGGGGTTTCAAGTGCATACTGGGCTAAGGGATCTTTTCACTTGTTCTGTGATGATTATTTTTCTGCCAACTGGCAGTTAAGTGTATTTGCAAATGATGCACGGGGAAGTTTAGGAAACAATGGATAAAATTCCTCAGAGAATCTAGTTACTTAAGTTAGTCTCTGATGGATAGTATCTAGATCGTATCAGTACAAACTGTAATGGACATCCGCAATTTTGAAACTTCCAGATATGATAACTGAAGTGTTTGCCGTTGGGCTTTTTCTGGTTTTAATTCTCCCTTCTTAACCTTTTCAGAATCTTGAGCACTTTCTGGCCTCAAGGTTTTTCATCTATTTCACAGTTGAACGAATAGCTCTGTTTTGGTCACAGGGACAAAACCACATCAATTAGGGCTTTTTTCATGTCTGGTTAATGACATATCAGTGATGTGAGGGTTGAGAGTAAATAGAGAAGAGAGGAATAATTAGAAGAGGAATTATGTAAGCAGATCCTCAGGGCTAAACCCCTTCACTCAGTGCAAGTAAGACTCGTAGACCCCAGGGTTCTTACTTGCATGTCAAGAACTACAGAACTTGGCCTACAGGGAAGCTGAGAATGAACCGTGCTCTATAACGTGAATCCGAGCTGTCATCTTTATAGATAACGACGGGAGGAACCGCCGCTCTCTGTGGAGTGTAGGGACCTCCCGGGTGGTGTGCAGTCTCGGGGACCTGTGGAGAATGCCATCCCCCGGCTCATTCTGCAGGACACGAGATGAGAATCCATACGCGTAATGCAGGGAACTGGAATCTCCTTGCTGCTGTTCAACTTTAATTTCTGCATTTAAAACAAAGCAGAGCTATATCAAAAATAACCAAGCCATTTCCACTAGGACAGCATGATTTTAGAGCAGGTCATTTTTAACTGAGAATGGTATTTTTTTAGTTAATTAAAGGGTTTGTAGCTTGTAGTCAGTGATCCCCTACTGACAGGTCTGTGCCAAGCCATTCCTCAGTGTCTCTTGGTGATTTTCATTGCAGTCAGGAACCAGGTTCTCTCACTCTTGCCTCCAAGGTATTTCTCATGGTTCCCATTGGTGCTTTTTTACGGCAAGGGAGGTGAATGTTTGAAGGATGGCGTCCCTTTGGCAGCTCAGCTGTGCTCTTTCCTGGCGCTGGCAGTCTTGTACAGGCCCAGCTTACCGAAGGCTGGGCAGAATGAAAGTCCCCTCCACACCCTGGCATTTTTGTCTTATTGCATTCAGGTCCCTGTCTTGGTGGGGATCCTTTTGGGCAGCCACAAAAGGACGTTTGGTCTTTCTAGGCTGGCTCATGGGGTTTGGGTTTGCTTGTTCTTTTGGGGGTTGGTGGATTTAGCAGTGCTGGCATCATCTCTCCATGGTTTCGGTCTTGAGCCTGAGGCACCTCCTCACACGGAGGCAGCTGAGTACGGAATTTGTATGAGGCAGCGGGGGGTGGAGGTGGGCCAAGCACAGCCTTCCCTTTCCTTGGAAGGCAGTGGTGACAGTGATGGCAAACCCAGTCTGGAGTCGCACCTGACAGTCACCCATGAGCTAGTTGTCTTGATTACTGAGTGGAGGATGCCATCTGCGTGGAGATGAAGGTCTCGATGACGTTGTGAGTGGAAGGCAGAAGCTGACTGTGGCTGTTGGCGGAGTCGGAGCTTTGGTACAGCACCAGGCTGCTGGAGGACACTGTCAAAGGCACAGGCAGAAGTTAAGTACAAATTCTCACTGCAGTGCCCTTACCCTCTTGCGCGCACCCTCGCGTTTCCAGCGTGACTAAAACCTCCCAGTACAGGGGCGTAACTTCTCCTTCTAGCCTGTGTGCCATTACGTACCTAGCTCAGGTACAAAGCCAGCCTGAAAGCGCTGACAGCATTAGGGAGTTCAGGTCTGAGGATTCTAGTTGGTTGTTAATGTCCCAGTTCTTCTCTTAAAACTGGGAAGATTCAACTGGAGTCTCTTCATTGAGGGAGTCTTGGGCTTTTCAGCCCTGAAAACCGCCTGACGGATTGACTATGCGTGGGCTCTGATTTTTGTCAATATTTTTAATATTGGTCAGAATACTAATTCTGTGTTCTGACTTTTTTCCTTGTGCCACCTTTTCAAACCCCCCCCAGACACTGGTAGAGCCCCAGTTACTGTTTTCTGTCTGGGTTTTAGTGTTGGCGAGAGAAAAAGAGCAGTACGTGCTTTAAGGTGGCAGTGGCTGCTGCTCTTACCAGCAGGGCTTGAGGCGAGGCGAGGGCCTGGCTGAAGGTGCTGGATGGTTGTGTCTTGGTTCTGCAAATGTATCGTCGCTGCCTGCGACACTGGCGTATGCATCCCAGACTCCGTGTGAGTCTCCGAGTCAGAGGTGAATGCCTAGGGAAAAGAAAGTTAACAGGGCCTGGTTTCTACACCCCTTCAAACAGGCAGGAGAAGAGCAAGCAGGTGCTGTTTCCAAGGAGATTGAATCCTCCCTGATGATGCAGTGAAGAGTTTGCTGTAATGCCTCCAGTATTGCAGCTGGTACCAGCAAGGCAAGGAGGTAAACATCATCCCGCTGGGATGGTGTAGACCGCGCACCCAAAAACTCTTTGACAAGCAAGGAGCTACCTGCGGGCTGGTGCAGTTCTGAGGTGGGGGAACAAAGGCATGTGCTAAAGGCTGTTACCTGTTTAGTTGGTGTCAGGTTAGTCAGGGCGCTGAGATTGGCTGTATCTGTTATCACCATGGTTTGTGGTAAGAGGCCTGTATGTGTGTATTGGGCCACTTCAGACTTGGGGCCGTAGAGAGCTGTGCATGAAAGAAAACAAGGTCATGTGGATGCTGGAGCTTTGCATGAGACTGGTTTGGCTGCAGCGTTCTCCTCATGCACATGGACCTGCTGCCTGTCTCTGAAACAGTGGGAGTGGAGGGGCAGGGAGAGGAATGCAAGAGAAAAATGATTTCATAATTAAACCAACAATAATAGAAGAGGAACACGGAGTGCTGCAAGCCCAAAGACCCCAAAAATGCTCCACAACAGAGCCTTTTTTTTTGAGTTTGCTTGAGCAAATGAGCTCATGTTCTTACCGTGAGGGTTCTGTATCTGGGCCATGGTGGCCATGAAGGGGCTCTGGTTGATGTGGCTCTGAACCTGCTGCATGAGGGGCTGCTGGTAGGATGGGTGTAGTTGCTGGGAGAACTGGACAGGCTGCAGGGTAGTGAGGCTGCTCCCCATGCTGTTTATTACAGGTACGCTCTGGGGCTGGGTTGAGGCCAGTCCTGAAAAACAAGGACGGATCACAGTAGTGCCACACACAATGGGAGGAGTGTGGCTGCTCTGCAACAGGGGCATCTGAAATAGTCATCGTGGCAGGCCTGTTGTTGCAGGGTGATTTTTTGAATCCTGCTTTTCAGGTGTTTTGTCTATTATCCATGATTATGAATAGATTTTATGTCTGTGAAAATGAAGGGGGAGTGTACAAAAGGTACAGTAAAACCATCTCTGACTTCTAGTGTTCGTTCCTGTGTACATCCTCGTGCACCAGTATAGGTCACTTTCCAGTCTAGTGATAACCTGAAATCGAGTTCCACTGGGGAGGCCTTGCTCTGGAGTGTCATCTCCTGTCCAGTTAATTTTATTCTTCTTTTATGGAGCTGTTAGCCGCAGAGAGAACAATGCTGTTAGCTCTCCAGCCACAGGGAATGGAGCTTAAGCTCATTTTG